TGAAGAAGAAGATAAGAAATAAGCCCTTTCTGTCAAATTTAATCTGTTCCAGTGTAGGGTTTTCCACCTCCCACCCCCTCCTGTACAGCCTTACGCACTGCGAGGGAAACTACATAATCCTATTGTAAGGTATGCTTACAGCCAAACGATTTTTTTCGCCTTCCAGTTCATAAAACTCCCCTTCCCCCATGCTCGGTGCAGGGCTTGACCTTCCAGGAGTTGCATTTTTAGGATATAACTCGACGTGATATAATATGCAGAACGTATACTGATTCCGTATCGCTATCGTCTAAACATAGCACAGAGATTTTACAGCGACCGTCACTCGTCACCTAATTATTTTTCCATCGCTCTATGAATAGCTCGTTTGTTGGGTGGGTGGGGGGGGGGGGGGGGGGGGGGCGATAGCAAAGTTGTGTTCCTCTGCTGCCTTCTCGGCCCCCTTTTTCGAGGAGAAAGGGATATCCCCGGGTCACGTAACTTGCATCCGAGCCATCTCCTTGTCGGATCGGCACAGGTACAGCCATTAACCGGGAGAGCTCATCCCTTAATGACAGTGTTTTTCTTAAGTAAACAAACTTTTACTGCTCTTTAACGGCCTCACTGTTTGAAGTCTCTGAAGCAGAAAATGGTTAAATTCTTGGGAAAACTGACCTACATCGGAGAGGCAGGTTCAGGGCAAACCCGAGATCGGGGGTTTGCGTTTATTAAACATCATTCCGCGCGTCTGTACTTTTCGCTTTAACTTTCCCGGTGATTAATTGCTGTATTGTGAAAACTCCTGCAGGGCCTTTATGGTTCCACCGTTTCTATTAAACACCCAGAAGTTGTCAAAAACGCAATGTTTCTGAAACCCTAATAGAACTCGCTACGAATTATTCATGAAGACAGTTCTAGATTCAACAGGAAAATTATTGCCTCCTCAAATATTAATGACTTCTGATTTCTCCGAGGCTGGGGAGCAGGCAGAGGGATTTCTGGCGGTGTGCGAATTTTCCAGGTCGGAGGATAAGGCCGTTAAGGCGGCGGCAGCGGGACGAGCAGGACGGGCAGGGATCATTTCGCCGCCTTCCCAGCGGGCCAGGAACAATAGTGCGAGGCGTGGGACGGAGCCCCTCTCCCTCCCGGGCGG